ATATATATATATATATATATATATATAATATATATATATATATATATATATATATATATAGATATAGATATATATATATGTATTTATGTATGTTATGTATGTATGTATATATATATGTATATATATATATATACATTTATCTATATATCTATATCTATCTATATATATGTGTGTGTGTGTGTGTGTGTATTCTATATATACTACATGTATTGATAGATGTACCATATATACCACACGTAACGTACATACACGTGTGGAAATCGGATCTGATTCTTCGTTTATTTGTGTATACTGTTTCGTACGTGATTTTGCGCATGTAGTAGTCAAGTGGCATATACTTGTTTTGTTTTTACTGCGCTTCAGTATAGATTTAAATATATTTGCACTACACAGTCAGGCATGCATGATAGGAGTCTACATTGTAGTAGATCCGGTATACTTCAAGTGTTCCGCGATTCTTTGATGAAATATCTTCACACGCACATCCATACTGTCCCTGTATATGCATATATGCCTCCGTGGTGCAGGATATGACAGCAAGGCCATAGGTTGCATATATGTGGCTCATTCATAATAATTCGTTAGTGAGTGTTCTGAGAGTGATGTCCATTATTGGGGCTTGATTGTCTTTTACACGTCACTGTCATTAATACACCGTCAATATCACGTGTCCTGATATATTGGTGATGTTCGCCTTGGAAGCATAATTCATATTGTCGGGACTGAGTCGCGTACCAACATGTTGCTGAAGTCTACATATTTGAGCCGAACCCGACTCTTGCCCAGTAGATAACTTGTCGAGGGTAGGGATGTACAATGCGACAGCTATGGTGCGTGAGGTCCTTACAGTCACACGCCTCTGCTGAACACAGTTTTGGTGGCGTTAACTATAAATCCCAAATCGGTCGTGTGTGGCTTTACTGGTTATTGAGGGTCAGAAATGAAAAAAAATGTATCGAATACACATGGTAGCTCGTGTCCCGCATATCTGGGGTATTTACATACGATATACGATTCTGAAAATTAATATATGGCTTATGATGAAGTGCGCTTGAGAATATCCATGTGAGATCCGAGTGTAAGCCGTATGATAAGTCGGTATAGCTGCAGGTACAACTACCGAGAAGCTTCAGATGAATGCAACATTTTGTATATGTACAGATAGGTAGCTGGTTGATAGTGTTTGTCGTTGTATCTAAGGTAGACACGCAAGAATGAGAACTCGGGAAGCAGATGTGGATACTTATTTGCAATCACTTCGAAATCAGGTCAACATCATTATTCGAGCCAGTTAGTTGGATCGTTCAACGCCCGCGTCAATGTTTATTTCTTCACATTGATTTTTTTTACACTTTTGTACGAAAATGCTTTCGCTTTGTCGAGGCTCTGGAACGATCTAACCTTACCATCCCCGACAGCCCAAAACTCCGTGGCGACGTGTTCTAGAAAGTATTGGTCGTGCGTAACCACCAGTACCGCACCTTTGAACCGTTTTAGAGCATCTACAAGAGCCTCACTGGTCTCCATATCTAGATTGTTAGTAGGCTCATCCAAAATCAGCAAGTGTGGATTATTCTTCACAAGAATACTGAATACCACGCGACTCCTCTGACCACCTGATAAGTAACCTATCTGCATCATTTGCATATCTGACGTAATACCGAATCGTCCCAAATATTTCCGCACCTCGCTTACTTCCATATCTGGGAAAGACTCTCTTAGACACTCGATGGGAGTCAATTTAAGGTCAAGTGTGTCAATGTGATGCTGTGTGAACAACGCGGTACTCATTGTCTGGTTGGTCCAGACTTTTCCCCCTGTCGGTTGGAGGTCGCCCATTAGAATCTTCAACAATGTACTTTTGCCATGCCCATTGAGCCCCATGACGGCTATACGCGAGTCCATGTTCACCTGCACCGTCACCTCTCGTAGTAAAAATGGGCCGTTGGGATAATTGAATGACATGTTGTCTGTCTGGCATAAGTTGCTCTTCCTCAGCACACCAGGATCCGGGAAGTTCAGTTTTATGACTACGGTCGACTCGTTCGATGTGTCTGGGTTCTCAATTCTCTCCATCTTTTCCAGTGCTTTTTTCCGCGATTCCACCAACTTCGTTTTCTTATCTTGTGCGGAGCTCTTCTTCTCGTTGTAGAAGGTATCTATAAAGTCCTGCATCTCCTTGATGCGCATTTGTTGTGCATCGTATGCCTTCTTCTGAGATACGTATCTCTCATGCTCCGTTTCCACAAACTGTTCATAATCACCCTTATAGTAATGCAGTTTGCGCCCTTTCATTTGCACAATGTCGGTAACAACATTATTCAAGAAGCCTCTGTCGTGCGACACGACCACCAGTATGCCCGAATATGACTCTAAGTATTCCTCTAACCACTACAGATATTGGTGGACACAATTGGTAGAAAAAAAATCGTTAGGATGTCATTCAGGAAATATTTGCGGTGAAAGGCGAGCATACGAAGCTAAGTCAATATAATTTTTCTTCGCGAAACATAAATGTGAGGGTTATGACTAACAGGAGGCAGCAAGTTACCCGTAGGAAAACATGAAAACTCACCCAAACCCAGCGTACACATGCTCAAACACATACGTGATACGATCCGAGAGTCAGAAGAGGTCTCGCCAACTCTAGCAGCATATAGTGCTAGGGCACTCGACAATAGCCGTATGAGAATCAGTAGATTGCGCTTACCTGAACAGTAGGGAAATCCAAGTGATTCGTAGGCTCATCGAGTAAAAGCAAATCCGAGTGGCAGAATAGAGCAGCTGCTAGTGCCACGCGCATACGCCAACCTCCGCTCAACGACTCCGTAGTAGCCTGCTGCATCTCCGGAGTAAAGAAAAGCCCCGCTAGAATTCTTGCTGCCCGTGCCTCCGCACTGTCGGACTCAATTATTTTCAATCTCGCCGTGTACTCTTCTAACTCATTACCAACATCTCGTTGGGGGTCCTGTGCACCTTCTCCTGATTGAATGTCGTCTACACGTTTCAATAAGACGTTGCGCTCCAGATCCGCCTCCATAACCGTTTGCAAAACTGTTCGTGTATCCCCGGCCGCTTCTTGCTCTACGTGCAAGACTTTGACATGCTTGGGAAAGCCTTCAATCCCATAGCCAGAGAGTTCTCGCAAGAGAGTACTTTTTCCACACCCATTTCTTCCGACCAAACCATAACGGTGCCCTTTTAGAAGTTTCAGACCACTGGAATCAAGGAGTGTGACATTATCCGGTGATAACAGAGTAACGTCGTCAACTGCAAATTCCGCATCGTTGATGTGCAGGCCAACAATATGGTCAGTAAGATGGCTGCGGACGTCTTAAATAAACTTTCAAAATGTTGTTCTCGTAAACTTTACAGTGAAGTAGACCGAGGAAGCGACAAATTTCATACTGCAAACTAGGCGTTGACGTCAAAAAAGCTTGCAGGGCTCAACAATTCTATATACGTGTGTGTGAGTGCGTATGTGTGTGTGTATATATATATATATTTATATTTATATATATATATACTACATATATATATATATATATA